AAAATCTTTAAAAATAGATATATATATTATTTTTCTTATCCTCACAAAAATCCTATGAGGTAGGCATTACTGTCTTTGCCATTCCACAGTTTGAGAAAACCGAGTCACAGAGGGGCTAAGTAGCTGGTTCAATGTCACCCAGCTTGCTTATGGTTAAGTGGGGATTCAAAGAGAAACAGTCTGACACCAGGGCCGGAGCCCTTCCCTGTGCTCTGCTCTTTCCCCGGCCCGCCGCCGCTCATGGGGCCTGCATGTGCAGTTACAGAGCTCACCACACGGGCTACCCGTTGGCTGTATTCTGACACCAAGTCAGCGAATAGCGGAGAATCTGGAGTCGGGGAACTGTGTATAAACTTCAGTGGTGTCACTCACTGTGTAAGCTGCCAGGGCCCGTGGACTCTGAGTTCTGAAGAGAATGCCGGTAGAAAGCGGTCTGTAAACACAAGGATGACACGTCCATTGTATTGTTATTCTTTGACAAATGGTAGCTGGCTCTCATCACCCTGTATTAACAGGTTTTCACATCACTCTTGCTGCGGCAGAGTCAGATGTGAAATGAGAAGGTTCTGTGTCCTGACAACTTAGGAATCTCGTTTCCTTTGAAAGTCCTACATCTCCTGTATATATCCTCATTCCACATTTTCCAGCTCCCCGCAGTGGTACGGCTCACTTGGAGGTGATTTTCCACACGGGCATTCTTCATGGGAAGAGAACAGTACAGCCCCATAGACAGGCCAGGACCTAGCCCTTGGCCGGGCTCCTGCACGACAGCCCGGCACCTTCCATGATTCCGGTGCACACCTGCACAGAACTGTATGACTTTTGGATGTGGCCATTTGGAGATCACCATCAAATAATCATGAATATTAAATTTCTGTGTACCAGTGGCCTCTTCTTCATCCCCATTCTTTTTCTAAAAACATTTTCTCTTTTTTTGGGTGTGTGTGTATTTTCTGCTCTACTATTTGAAAGTAAATTGCAGACAACGTAACACTTCAGGTCTAAGTACTTCAGCATGTATCTCTAATGATAAGGAAATTTTTTATAGTACATGTCATTATCTACCTAGGAAAATTAACAATGTTCTTATCCTAATATCCAGCCCATGTTCAGATTTTCCTTGTTTGTCCTAAAATTGCTTTTAGAGTGTTTTGCTTTTAGGGTTTCTTGTTCTATTTTGTTTTTTTCCCAAAAAGAAAGCCAACTCATAGCATTTAATGGTTACATCTCTGTGATATTTTAAAATCTGAACCAATTCCCCTACCTTGTTAGTTTGTTTGTTTTCATGATATTAACTTTTTAAAGATTTTATTTATTTATTTATTTGAGAGAGAGAGAGAGAGAAACAGCACGAGAGGGGAGAGGGTCAAGGGAGAAGCAGGCTCCCTGCTGAGCTGGGAGCCCGACATGGGACTCGATCCCAGGACCCCGGGACCATGACCTGAGCCGAAGGCAGTCGCCTAACCAACTGAGCCACCCAGGCGCCCAATATTAACTTTTTAAAGAGACTAAGCCAGTTCTCCTGAACAAAACCCCATGTTCTGGATTTGTCTGATTTTTTTTTTTTTTTATTGTGTCATTTATCTTTTACTCTGTCCTCTGTGTTGTAGAAAACTAGAAGTTGGTTCCAAAGACCAAATTAGAAACAGTTTGTATATTTCTGTCTAGACTAACTTGATAGGTGGCACTATTTATTTTCTATCAGGAGGTACCTATGGTGTCCCCACTATTAGTGCTTCTAAGTTTGATCACTTGATTAAGATGGTGATTAGCTGTCTAGAAGGATCTCCAAGATACAGTGCTGAATAAAAATAAAAAAAATAAAACACACACACACACACACACACACACACAAAGATGGTGATAGTTGGTTGGTCTCCCAGAGTTAAAGTCCATGTTTACCTTTAACAAGTAGAACTAAATTGTTGGGAATGATTTTTTTGTTTGTTTTTATTGGGGGGGGCTCATGTGAATATCCTTTCATCTAATGCTGTTAACATCCACGATGTGCCTTATCTGAATCATTTATTCCACTGAAGGTTGCAAATTAGTCATTTTAAATTTTTATCATTCCTTTTACACTTATTAAATGTATTAAACATATATTAAATATAACTAATATTTCTCTGTAAAGAAGGGCCTTCCCTCATCAATAAGGGATAATTTAGATTCTCTTATAGTTCATATCAGTACAACATGTTTCCTATCAATTTTCTAAAATATCAGCCTTAGATTATGGAACTGAGCTGTTGATCAGTCATAACTTATATTTGATATAAACTTTTTAGGGCGTTTTGATGTACATTGAGATTGGAAGTAGAGAATAGATGAAATTTAAAGCAGTGTTTCAAAATGGTGAGCAAATATTATACGAGGTGTGGCAGGAGGAATTTCAAGAAGTCAAGGTCAATATCAGCAAATGTTTATTGATCTAAAATGAAATTATTAATACCAGGCATTAAAAGAGCTTACCGTATCCCAAAAAGCTAATGGTATGCATGGTCAACGTAGATACATATTTAGGCCTGACAAGAAGTAAATTAAGACAAATAGTTTGGACTGTCACCTGTTGCTCCAGCTTTTGCGGTCTCCACTCCACATACCAGCACGCAAGGCCCTTTGTGTTCTGGGCCCAGGTTCTTGTCTGACACTCCCGCACCATTACTCTTCATCTGGTTATTTGCATCATCCCTCAACTGCACATGGTTTTTCCTGCCTTCATGCCTTTGTCCAGGCCCTTCCCTTGACCCAAAACACTTCCTTCTTGCCTCTTAGGTCCCATTGGGCCCATTTCTCAAGCCCAGCTAAAATCCCACTCCCCTCCCTCTGTCAAGCTCCTTCCTCCCTGACCTCTCCAAATCACTTGCATTTCTTACACTCTGTCACATCTGTGGTCTCTGACTCAGTTTCCTGTTTGGTCTTCTCATTGGCTTCTGTAAGTAAATCTCATATTCAAGCTATTGAATATGACTACCCATGATCCCAAATTAGAAAGCTCTTTTCACATGGCATTGCTGGGTTTTTGCATTCCCTTTGAGAGTCTCTCTGAAAGTTACCAACAGATGTGAAACTATTATCAGACAGGTTATCTCCCTTGTATGGCTTTCTTTGCCTTCTAATATCGATCACCTTACAAAATCAGGTTTTTGTGTAAGAGTTAAGGCTAGAATTGAGGTTTACTCATCACCCGTTCTTTGGAAATAAAGTCAAGGCCTAATCATTTCAAAATGATCAAAAGAAAGGAAAAAGAAAAAGATGGGCATAAATTAACATTGTATTGAAATATTACAGCGAAACAAAGCTTATTTTGTTTTCCTTGGGTTGAACCTTTTTGTTCCTTTTGTAACCAACTTGAGCACTGCTTTAAATGGAAATAAAACAATGGTATTTTGTGCTTCTTGAAGATTTTTTAAAAATATTTTCATCCCATTCAACAAGACATTGTTTGAAATACCTTTTCTCTGTGTCTCCTTAATAAGAGCACTTTGTCTTTATGCAGTTCTTTCCATCTGAGGACCTTCACCACGTTGGCTGAGTATTTTTCATTACCAGATGGTGATGATAAAAGCTATCATGCCTCTTGTTTTCTGTCTGTGCAGAAGCAGGAGGTAAAAAGCTACGGAGCACTGTCCAGAGAAGCACGGAAACGGGCCTGGCTGTGGAAATGAGGAACTGGATGACTCGCCAGGCGAGCCGAGAATCTACTGACGGCAGCATGAACAGCTACAGCTCAGAAGGAAAGTGAGTGAGGCCAGCCATGATGTGTCTCTTCTGTGCCTTGCCGGGACCATCTCCTCTCTCTTTGTGCTTTCCCGGAAGCTAACTCACACTCTTGAGGGCGCCATTTTCATTTCCACTGGCTGATTTGCTGTGAAGAGAACTTTTGCTCGCCTACCGCCGAGAAATGTGGCATATCTGGCCTTTTATATCAAGGGAAATAGGTTTGGTGATAAAGTGTTTTGCTTTAATAGCAAGACGCTAAAATGTGACCGTCACAATACATGCACATAAAAGTTTGCCCTGGCTTGAAATAACATATAGAAACACAGAAAGAATAAGCACTCATGCCACACCATGTGAACAATGCTAATTTCCACAATCTTTGCTCTTAAGAGTTACTACCAAAAATTGTAGAATACTTGACTCATACTTCGTTCCAAGAAGTAACAGGCAGTTCACATAGATGGAATGCCACAAAGTAAGTTGGTGAGCCTTTCCTTCATGTAGTTAGCATGTAGCTTTTTCTTGAATCAGCTGTAGCTAAGATATTTTTAAAGCATTTGTCAAGATTGTGTAGCCCTGTCACCAACAAACTGACAATAATCAGCAACCACAGATCCATAGATGGGTGCATAAAGGAGGTTAATAGAGGAAAGTGGGGTTTACTGACCTCACTCTGTCATCAGCATGGAAGCATCAGATGTTTGGACAATATACATGTTGCAAGACATGAGGCAGAGTATTGATTATGTGCCACAGGGAACATTTGTCTAGCATGAGTATGTAAATACAGAAGATGTACATGGTTTCCATACATTTATCAATAAGGTTATATGGGATACTAATTAAAATACTTGGATTAACTGTATATTTGGGGATTTAGATTGGGGGAACAAACAGATTTGATGTTAATCAAGGAAGTCTTAAAAGAGATGGAAGCAATTGAAAAATGAATGTGCACTGAGCTTTCAGCATTGCAAAGTGCTATGTTAGATACTGTTAGGGATACAAAAATGTCCCAACTGTGCCCCCGGCACCCCAGATGTTTGTATTTTATGGGAAAAATGGGTTGAATACTCGTAAATTCATTCAACAAGTATTTCCACACCTTCCAGTGTTCTAGGCACTGTGCTGAGTTGGGGATATAAGTCGTACAAGGCGACCAAAATCAGTTAGTGGTTAAGACCATGGGCCTTAAACTCACATAGGCTTAAGTTCTCATCTGTTTTTCAGTACTGTAGAAACTTGGGCAAATTATTTAACTTTTCTCAGGGTCATTTTAATTAACTGATTTTGCTTGACAAGTATTTATTAAGTGCTTAGGTATTCCAGGCATGGTTCTAGGGGCTGGAGATATATCAGTGAACAAAATAGAAACAAAAAACCTAAAAACCCTACCCTCACCAAACTTCCAGTCTAATAGATAAGGTGGACAATAAATAAGAAAAGTTGATAATATGTATATATAAGGAAAATTCATAAAATAGTAGATTAGGTCCCATAAGTGCTAAAGAGAAAAAGAAAGAAAGGGAGAGAGATGAGAGCGGGTAAGTGTGGGTTTCATGTAGGGTAGACAGGGAAAAAGATGTATTTGGGTAAAGATTTTAAGAATGTGGACATTCGAGGGAAGAACATTCCAGGCTGAAGCTGTGCTGAGACCTGGAGGCAGCAGTTTGCCTGGCATCAACACTGGGGAGGGCAGCACTGTGCAAGAAGGGCAAGAGTAGGAATTAAGATGGGGGCAGGGGTGGACAGCTCGTATCATCTTTATAATAGCGTTGTGAGGACTTTGCTTTTCCTCTGAGAGGGGCCAGAAACCAATGGAGGGTTTGAGCAGAGTCCTGATATTACCTGACTTGAATTTTAACAGGCCATTCTGATTGCTGTGGGGGTGGAAAGTAAATTTGGCCACCGAGGGATCATTCAGAGGGCTGTTCAGTAATACCGCAGATAGAAGATAAAGGCTCGGACCACAGTGGTAGCATTAGCCAGGTCAGATTCTGGATGCATTTGACAGTAGAGCTGATAAGATTTCTTGATACATCTGATATGAGTAATGAGAGAAAGGGGGTGTATTCATTTGCTAGGGCTGCCCTAACAAAATACTGAAGATTGGGTAGCTTAAACAACAGAAATTTATTCTCTCATAGTTCTGGAGGCTAGAAGTCCAAGATCAAGGTGTTATCAGGTTTGGTTTCTCCTGAGGCCTCTCTCCTTGGCTTGCAGATGGCCTCCTCCTCAGTGTGTGCTCACATGGTATTTCTTCTGTGCATGCATACCCCTGATGTCTTTTATTCTTCTTGTAAGGATACTGGTCACATTAGATTAGGGTTCCACCCTCTGACCTCATTTGACCATAATTACCTCTTTGAAGGCCCTATCTCCATGTACAGTCATACTGGGGGTTAAGGCTTCAACATATGCATTGGTGGGGGGACAGGGTTCAGTCTGTAACAAAGAGGAAAGGCCACCCCAAGGCTGGACAATTGAAAGAATGAAGTTGCCATTTAAGATGAGAATCCCCTGAGAGGAACAGACTTTGGCTTTTTATTTGTTTCGAGATTGGGAGTCAGTTTGGGACAAAATGAGTATCAGTTGCCTATTAGACATCCAAGCAGACATGTAGACAAAGCAGATTGAATACAGGTCTGTGGTCCAAGCTGGAGATGGCAAACTAGGCCAAATCAACAAAGATGTCATTTAAAACCGTGAAACTGCATGAGATTACCAAGGAGTTTGGGGCATGCAGAAAAAATAAGAAGTCAAAGGATCGAGCTCCCAATATTTAGTGGTAGAACCAGTGACGGAGACTGAGGTAGAGTGTCCAAAGAGGAGAAAATCAGGGAACCAGAGGGTCTGGGAAGCAAAGTGGACAAAGTGTTTCAAGGAAGAGGGAGGGCTCAGTTGTGTCAGCTGATGCTAATGTGTTAAATCAGACAAGTGCTGAGTATGAGCAGTTGGGTGTCCCATGTGGCCCTCGGGTAACCTTGGTCAGAGAAATTTGGGTAGAATGGAGAAAAATCAAGCAAGCAAGGGAGCAAGGAAAAACTGAATAGCGTTTCAAGGGAGAACAAGAAAAAAGAAATTGAAGACAGCCTGTAGAGTAAACTCTCTCAAGGAGCATTGAGTAGAGAAATGGGGTGGGAACTGGAGAAGGAAGTGGCGTTAGGAAAGGGATTTTTTTAAGGTAGAAGTTTTGTTTTTTTTTTTTAAGGTGGAAGAATAACAGTATGTTTGTGTACTGATGGAAATGATCTAGAAGAGTTTCTTCATCTATAAAACAAGGATAATAGAATCTATCTCCTAGTGCCGCTAAGAGGATTAAATCCAATGATGCCTGCTGTGAAGTGCTCAGTAGGTACCAAGTGCTACTGATAGAAATCACAGCCCATGCCCTCCAGACAAGGAGGAGAAAGACACAGACCCAGCAGCCTACAATACTGTGTGACAGGTGCTTCTGGTGACATACATGGGCTGCTAGAGAATAAGAAAGGATGAGCCATAGGAGGTGGAGCGGGGTGCTGGGATCCAGTTAATATAAGTGGCAAAATCATGGTAGTACCGGATAGGGGCAAGAGGGAAACCCGAGCTGCCTGAAAGTAAATAGGTTGAGGGTTTAATCCCATGTGTTATTTTGCTTTTAGTCTGATTTTCCCTGGTGTCCGCCTGGCCTCTGATAGCCAGTTCAGCGATTTCCTGGATGGCCTTGGCCCTGCCCAGCTCGTGGGGCGCCAGACTCTGGCTACACCTGCAATGGGTAAGAATTTCTGTCATGTGATTTCGCTGTTTCTCCTTTAGATTATCGAAAATTACATTCTCTAGTTTCATGGGATCTTCAACAGATCGTCAGCAGGAATAAGTATTTTTATTTTACCAATAAAAAAATTTTAACTGATTTTTCCAGGTTAATTGATATGCTTTTTAAAGTAAGAGATCATTGATAGAATTTTAAATATATTTGAATTTAGGAAAATATATGGGAAATGATGAAATGATATAAAACCAGGGTCTTTGGCACAAGCCTGTTTCTTACTGTGTTTGTACACTAAGGCCTGTCTCTTTCTTCCTCACACATCGTTAGGTGACATTCAGGTAGGAATGATGGACAAAAAGGGACAGTTGGAGGTGGAAATCATTCGGGCTCGTGGCCTTGTCGTAAAACCAGGTTCCAAGACACTGCCAGGTAAGAACAGAAGAGATTCTTCTATTTTCTGCAATGCCTATTTTTCAATTCAGAGATTTTGTTTTTGATTAAATGCCAAAAACTTTGTTTTTAGATAGATGCGTGAGTCTGTAATCTGTAGTAGTTTGTGTGGTTATCCTAAGTGAGCATGCAGTGAGGGTGGTCTGGTAGGGATAATTTAAGTTATATAATTTAAGTTAACCTTATTAAGTACGTATGTAGTAGAAACCATTGCAAAATAAACAGGTACGTAAGAGTTTCTTTTTCTTATTAGCTGATATTTTGTGTTCTTCTTTACTTTATCTGGAGCTTCAAAATTCTCCTTGGGAATTCTTTAAGTTCTGCATTAGAATAAAAATAGATACAGGTTTCCAAAGCAGCATAAGCCTTTGTATACAGGACATTCTAATTAGACTAACTTTTACTTCCTGCAGTGTACAAAGAAAGAGAAGCACCGTTAGCAATTTGTATTGCGGTGTCACACATTTCATACTGAAATGTCATAATCTAAGGTGCCTGGAGCCACAGAAAATGACACAGGGTCCAGATACCGTATGCAGAGACGTATAGAACATGAGATCGGATACGTGGAACAGTTAGTGAGGATTCTGAAATTTGGGTTCTCACCTTGGCACCTCCACTGACTGAAGTGTAATTTTGAATTTCGTAACTTCCCTGTCCTTGCAGAAATTCTAAATGATAATGTGTACAACCTTGCAGGGTGATTAAGTCAATTGTGTTTACAAAGGTCTTGGAGCTAGTTACCCCACCGTGCTATAGAGAATACCATAATTTTGGGCGCCTGGGTGGCTCAGTCGTGAAGCGTCTGCCTTCGGCTCAGGTCATGATCCCAGGGTCCCGCGATCGAGTCCCACGTCGGGCTCCCTGCTCAGCAGGAAGCCTGCTTCTCCCTCTCCC